CGCCTTCAAGATGGCCCCAAGAGGCCCTCCAGGGCTCCCTGGAGGCCCCCAGGAGAGCCCCAAGAGCGCCCCAAGAGGCCCCAAGAGTCCTCCAAGAGGCACCCGAGAGGCACCCAAGAGGCCCCTTGAGCGGCGCCCCAAGAGGCCCAAGAAGCAAGATACTGTCTCGTCCTCATCCTTCTCCTCGTCCTCCTCGTCCTCGTTCTCGTCCCCCTCCTCATCCTCATCCTTGTCGGCCTTCTCGTCCTTCTCCTCCTCCTCCTCCTCCTCTTCCTCCTGGTTCTCCTCCTCCTCCTCCTCATCCTCATCCTTCGTTTTCTCGTCCTCTCGTTCTCGTCCATATCCTTCGTCCTCGTCCTCGTCATTTTCCTCCTCCCCCTCCTGCTCCTCCTCCTCCTCATCCTCCCCCTCCTCCTCGTTCTTATCCTCCCCCTCGTCCTCTTCCTCCCCCGTCTCCTCCTCCTCCTCACTCTCTTAGTTTTCGTCCTCATCCTAGTTTTCCTCTTCTCGTCTTGCTTCTCATGCCTGTCTCCTCCTCCTCCTCCTCTTCGCCCCCCCCACCACGCGGGCCCGGAGATGGCCCCAACACGCCGTCCAGGCCGGCCTCCCTCGCTGTTTGACTGTGCATGTCTCTTCCTCTCTCCCCCCGTCAGCCCTCATGGGCATCGTTTCTGGATGGGCCGGTGGGTTTTTTTCCGTCGCGGCCGCAAGCGGAAGCGCAGGCGGCGTCCGAAGTCAGCCCGGGCTACGAGTCGGTGGGGATACTTTTTGGTCCTTTTGGTTCGCGAGCGCAAGCGGAAGAGCCGCGCGCCGTCAGGGAAATGCCGAGTAGCAGATACCTAAATTACTGCGGCCTAACACATGACCGCAAGCGTGCAGCAAACAAGCGGCGAAAATTGCAGACTAAGCGACGGGGCAGGCTCAACCGCAGCTCAGACGAAGCAGGCGAAACGACCACCGGGCCAGACTGCCGGTGGGGATACTTTTGCGTCGCAACCGCAGGCGAGAGCGCCAGCGGCGAGTAAGGTCCGAGCGGGCCGCGCAAGAGCCTAATTGCCTAACGCCGACGGGCCGGCGACCTAAGCAGCACCTAAGCGGGCGGGCTGGCGTGAGGGGGGGTGCGGGCTGCAGCTGCCAGGGACCAGGTCCAGGAGCGCGCACATGCACAATTAACCAACCAGGGTTGGAGCGCAGCCAAAATGGCGCGGGGGTGGTACCAGGATGTGGCCAACAGGGCAACCAACAGTACATTGCGTCAGCTGCCAGGAGATCATACTGACCCTCAAATTGGTGCATAGGGTGGCGCCACCAAAGTCGCACACCGAGACTCCTGAAGGGAGTACCGATCCTGCATATAACCGTCCACGGGCCTGTGGGGATACGCGAAGTGTCAAGAATTTTAGCCGTTTTCGTAGTCGTCGTCGTCGTCGTCGTTGTCGTCGTCGTCGTCGTCGTCGTCGTCGTCGTCGTTGTCGCCCGGATCGTTAATAGACATTGGATATCAGGGTCCTTGGGCCCACAGTTCAGGACTGGACCAATCCTCGGGCGCCTTTTGGCCAGGATAGCGCAGGGAATTCAGTGCTGGCGACTAGAGCCCCCCACCCGACTGCCGAAAAGCGGCACCCAAGTTCCCGAGGATCTCCTCTGAAGCTCCGTAGGAGCTCTTTGAAAACTCCCTAGAAGCTCTTTGGGAGCTCCTTAGGAAGCTCTGAAGCTCCACAGGCTCCCTAGGTGCTCCTTTACAAGATCCGTGTCAGTTCCGTGGTAGCTCCTTTGAAGTTCCTCAGAAATCCATTCCAAGTTCCCCAAAAGCTCCGTGCGAGCTCCGTAGAAGCTCCGTTGGAATGCCATCGGGATGTTTTAAAAAGGATGAGCTCCTTAAAAGCTATCAAGCAGCTCCTTAGATGCTTTATAGAGAACCCTCAAAACGTTCATTATAAGCTCTTTTGGAACACTTTAGGAGCTCGTTTGAAGCTTTTTAGGCGCGAGTGAGAAGCTCCTTGGCAGCTCCTGCGAAGGTCCTCAAGACCTTTTTGTTGACGAGATCCGGGAGCTCCTCGGGAACGATGTAAAACATCGTCAGAAGCCCTATACGAAGTTCCGTAGAAGATCTTGGAAGACCTTTTAGAAGTTCCCGGGGAATTCCTTAGGAGTTCCGTGCTCACTCCTTGGAGACTCTTTAAACATTCTTCAGCTCCTTGGGAGCTCCGTACAAAATCTTTAGCAAGTCCGTACAAGCTCTTTCTAGCGGCTTCTTTGAAGCTCCTGAGGAATCTAGATTGCTGTTGAAGCTTCCGAAGCGCCCGAAGCTTCAGGATATTCAAATCCGACAGCCGGTGAGTGTATCAGGTCACCAGGGAATGGACCCGGTTACCGGGGAACCAAATCGTTTCGTTCTCTGTCCCTCCCCCCCACTGGTGCCCCCGCCCCTGCTCTTTTCTTCCTCCTCTCCGCCCCCAAATTAGAGGGCTGGTAGCTCCAGCTTGTGTGTTGTGCGATGTGTAGCACATCCTGCTGCTCTTGCTTGCTTGCTTGCTGCTCTTGCTTGCTTGCTTGCTTGCTTGCTTGCTTGCTTGCTTGCTTGCTTGCTTGCTTGCTTGCTTGCTTGCTTGCTTGCTCTCCCGCCCTGGCAGTCGCCCTGCCCTCCCGCCCGAGGCGGCAGTTCCAATGAGAACGCTGTCCTCGGTCGACTTCGACCAGATCGACGAGCCCCAGCCGTCTGTGTGGCGGACTCGGCCGGGAGCTCTGCGCGGGGCGCCCGCCGTGCATCCCAGCCCTCTCTCGCCGGGCGAGCAGACCTCTGCACATACACCGATTTTGGCCAGGCCTGTCCTAGGGCCCAGGATTGGTGTATATGCCTCCCTGGCCAAGCCACGACGGCGCATGCACCGATCCTGGGCTCAGGGTGGGCCTGGCCAGGATCGGTGTACACCCTGCGAAATGCTTTAGAAATCATGGGTTAAGAAATTCATAGTCTCAGAATTTGAATAAAAACCCAACATGTCCATTCAAATCTTAGGATTTACATCGAAACATTTAGAATAATCGAGACTCTGGCCGAAAACTTGGGTTTTCTTAAGCATCGCCTAAGGTGTATGTGCATAGTTCTCTTTCCTCTATCTCGGTGCCGCGGCCCCGCGGGTCCGGCTCGGGCCGCCGAGCATACTCCCCCCGCCCCGGGGGGGAGGGGAGGTGGTCGGAGGCGGCGGGGGGCCCAGTCGCGACGTCGGTGACCCGCCTCGATTGCTCGTCTCCGGTGGCCTTCGGAGGTCCTCTCGTCGCGCCACGGCCGGTCGCGGCTCGAGGAGCTGCGGGAACCAAAGTCGGGATGGCCCCTGTGCGGTCACGGGGGGCGGGGGGGGCACTTGGGGATCCGCGCCTTTTCCCTCCTCTCCTCCTCCTACCCCTCCTCGTCCTTCTCCCCCTCCCCCTTTTCCTCGTGGCCGCTCCCTTCCGGTTGTTGTTCCTCCTCCTCCCCTCCTTCTCCTCCCTCCCGGGGTCTAGGAGGCAGCCTTGCTGCACACGAGGCGGGAGGTGGACGGGGAAGAAGAGGGCGCCCCGATGTCGCTGCCCCTCTCTCGTCTTTGCCTTTGCAGGTCTCCTGGGGGGCCCTCGTGGCCACGGCTGGACTCGCGAGGAGGAGGAGGAGGAGCAGGAGGAAGAGGATGAGGAGGAGGAGCAGGAGGAGGGGGAGGGGGAGGAGCAGATGGAGGAGGAGGGGAAGGAGGACCTCGCCGTTGCTGGGGGCGGAGCCGGGCCAGATGTTGCTCCTTCCTTCGGCTGGCAGGCGGTGGCCCAGGGGGTCCCGCCGCTTGGCTGGCGGTGGCTTGGGAGTGTTCCGATGGTGTCTCGATGGTGTACCGATGGTGCCGCGATGGGGGGTCCAGATGGTGTGACGAGGATGCCCCGACGGTACGCCGACGGTGTTCCGATGGTGAGGTCGACGGTGCCTTCGACGGTGTCCCGATGGTGTTCCGACGGTGTTCCGATCGCGTCTCGATGGTGTCCCGAAGGGTGTCCACATGGTGGGCCGATGGTTTCCGGATGGTGCCCCAATATTGTCGATGATATCTGGATTGTGTCCGAATGGTTGTCCCGATGGTTGTCCCGTATCCGATCGATCGTTGTCGATTGTCCCGTACCCGTGTCCGGATTGTGTCCTAATGGTTGTCGATGGATCGTGAGACCGATCGATGGTGAGATCGATAGATCCGAAGCGAGGGGTGAGATCGCAAGGAGGCCCCCAGCGGGCGGCAGCGGGTGTGGCGCGGACGTGGGCTTGGCCATCCGGCGACGGCGCAGGAGCTCGCGGTCGCCGCCCGCGCGGCGGGCTCAGCAGGGGCCCGCGCGAGCAGTCTCGTGCTCCCGTGGGTGCGTGCCACCTGGCTGCAAGTCGGGCCTGTCCCTCTACAGGGGGAAGATTCAAAAATAGTAGAGAACGGTTTCGGGGACTATCTATTGACGATGTTTTGACTATGTTGGTGTACTTTTTGAGTAGTTATCATTTGTCGCCCAAAATCCGCCTGTAGGGGGACACGCCCGACCTAAACCTGGCTGTGTTCCGTGCATCCCCGCGCAGCGCACGTTGTTCGAGTTGCCCAGGGACGCGCTGGTGGGCCACATACGCTGGCAGGTGGCCGCCAGCGCCGAGGTCGAGCCCGATGCCGTCGTCCTCGGCTTCCGTTCGGTCGTGCTGCGCGACGGGCTTATATGTTGGTGTCATACGGCGTCCAACGACGTGGTGGCGAACATTAGGGTTCGGGGGGGGTCGGAGTATGACAGACCCCTGCCCCCAGAGGCGTCGGAGAAGGAGGCGTCGGGCCCGTTAAAGAGCTGCGACCAGTCCGTGAAGGCGTCTTTTGCCGAGGGGAAGGTGCCAGGCTCGTCGACGACCTATTGGCAGTCCAAGGAGGCGCCTCTTGCCGGGGCGAGCGCCATCGGCGGGCTGCCGCACGCTGAGGTCTGCGACACGGGCCGCGCCACCATGAAGATCGACGAGCATGTGCAGGGAGCAGCGCCCCTCTGAGAGGAGGCGGCGCTGCGGAGGGCCGCGTCAGAAGGGGCCAATTCATCGCCGAGGGGCTCGCGTCGTTGAGAGGGGCGGCGCTTTGCCGCTGCAATGCCCGAAGCGTGTCTACTCCGACGCTGGTTGCAAGGAGTTGCCGATGGGGCACGGACTGCGTGTCCAGCGGCGGTTCAAGGACCAGGACATGGCGACCGAAACCACTCGAGCCCTCAATCGCTCGGCCGGTTCTGGCACGTCCGAGGTGGAGTCCGCTCTGAGCGCCTCCATCCGCCAAGGTCTACAGTGACGTGCGGGCGTTCCAGGTGGCCCGCGCTGCCAAGCCATTTAGTTCATGTTCCGAAGGAAGCCTGCAGCGAGTTTCCCAGCAGCACGCTCTCCTCGTGCTTGACGGCGAGGAGGTTTCTCCAGTTCGACCCTGCTCGCGCGAGCTGGTCAGCCGTCCCAAGAGAGGGGCAACCGCCCCGCGCCGCTGCCCACCAACGCGCGGCCTCAGATATTCCGGCACTTGCCAGATGGCCAGCGAGACGCGCGGCTGCAGCAGCCGCAGCAGCCTGAGGCCCAGCAGATCAGGCAGGTCGAAGGCCGCTTCCAGGGACGACCAGGACACCTACATCGGGCTTGTTAAGAAACGCCTGGCCAGAGGCACCTTTCGTCTCGGACGTCGGCACAATAATGGCGTCAAAGTTTTCTTCGCACGAAAGAGATACGAACATTTTCGCGATGCCATGGGTTGTCGACGCCGCAAGTCCAACATCCGCGAAGCACCTCAGGTCCATCTTGCTCGGGCAACAGCTTCGGTGAGGTCGACGATACGGCGGGGGCCGAGTTATGGCGCGCCGGCGGTGACGTGCAGTGTTTTTTTCCTCCTGGCACCAACTGCCCTCATGGCTCCAGCCCCATCTCGGTCTAGACGGAGAAGCACGCGCCAACGAGGTCGGCGTCGCGCGTCGCGCAGATGGACGGGGAGGCCCTCGACGGGGGCCCGTGGCTGTACCTCTGCGTAAACGTGGCGCCCATGGGTTGGAAGCGGGGGCCCTCTACTTTGCGCGGCGGATCCACGAGCGCACGCTGGACCTGGCGCCTGGACTGGGCCCCGAACGGCGAGTTGTGGATGTTCGGCCGCCCGCCTCGCGTCCGGGAGGGGGCCGCCCACGTGGACAACGTGCTCGTCGAGGGGCTTGGCCAGGCTGAGGCGACGCGCCTGCGCCGGGTGGCGCGCCGAGCCCCGCAGGCCGCAGGGCGCGCCGCCCGCGGCGATTCCGACGCCGCCCGCGCGGAGATGCCCGGGGTGGAGCGGGGCAGGCTGGCTGGCCCGGAGGCGCGAGGGCCTCCGAGAGCGCGGCTGGCGTCGCTGGCATGCGCCGGGGAGGCTCGAGCGGCGCTGGCCTCGTTTGACTGGTCTACAGCTCGAGCGGCTTATTTGTCACGGCACTTTTGTGGCCCTCCGCTGCAGGGAGCCAGCCCTTTCCTGTCGTTCCTCCATCCTCTTCCCAGCTGGCCTGTCTTTTCCATTGCCTTTGCTCGCATCATGCTTTGAGCCCGCAGTGCGGGAGCCATGGCGGGCTTCCCTGTGTGAAGTGAGCTTGCGGATGCAGCATTTCGGCGTGCCCCAGGGCCGTCAGGAGGGTCTCTTCGGGTTCTCTCGAAACCCGCTTGGGCTGTCTTGGGCCCGTCTCGGGCCGTCTGGAGCCTCGTCGGAACCCTCTCGGGGTGCGTTGTGGCTCTCCGAGAACCCTCTTGGGATCTGAGGCCCTTCAGGAAGCCCTGCGGTGCCCATGGCATCGCCTTTGTGGACTCTCGGGCGCCTCTTCGGCCACCTTTGACGATTGAATTCCAAGGAGCCACTAGGCCAAACTCATACTAAACCAAATGCGAAATCAATGATGTGTGCCTCTTGAAGGGGTCTTGGTGCTTACTGGAGTCCATACGGCCGCCTTGGGATGTCGTCGGGCCAGCCTGGGGTTCGTAGTGGCTGTCTTGAGGCTCTCTTGGGCCGTTCTGGTGTCGTTTGGGGGCCGATAAGAGTCCCACTGGCAGCGGCAACACGCTGCCAGGAACTGCGCTGGTGCGAATACGCGACCCCCGCCTCCCCCCATTCCTCTCCGTGCCATATCCTGCTGGCTGGTATCCTGGATGCTTGTTTTACCGAGCCACTTGTTGCACGACCCACGAAACCCAATTCCTGCTGCGCTCCCGCTGGCGGGGGGCCTCCTCCGTCCTCTTCAACCCGCCTTATCCTGATCATCCTCTTTCTCCTCCTCCACCTCTTCCTCCTCCTCCTCCTCCTCCTCATCTCCCTCCTCCCATCTCTACAGCATCCCTTTCTCACATTTGCTTCTCGTATCTCAATCAGCCCATCCTGAAACGATGCTCAGGAAAGTTGTCGGGAGGAGGGGCGTAGGTAAAGTTTTGTCCAAAGCTTCGCATGCGCACCGCGACGACGACCACGTCGCGTCTGGTGACCATGTGATTCCCAAAGCCACTTGGGTCAGTAGTTTCGCCCAGTGCCTCAAATGCATGTTTTGGTCAGTGAGCAATGGGGGGTTCTTGATGCATTTCTTGAATATGGTGCTAGTAGTCCGTTCGACGTCTGCCGCTGGTCTGCTGGTGCACGACACCAAAGAGGAGGGGGAGGAGGAGGAGGAGGAGGAGGAGGAGGAGGAGAAGGAGGAGGAGGAGGAGGATCAGGAGGAGGAGGAGGAGCAGCAGGAGGAGCAGGAGGAGGAGGAGGAGGAGGCGAATGAGAGGTACGTGGAAGAGGAGGAGGAGAGGGAGGAGCAGAGGGAGAAGGAGGGAAAGATGGAGGAAAAGGAGGAGGAGGAGGAGAAGGATGAGGAGGAGGAGGAGGAGGAGGAGGAGAGGTGGCAGGAGCGAGGAGGGAGAGGAGAAGCGAGGAAGACAGGGAGTGAGCAGGAGGAGGAGGAGGAGGAGGAGGAGGAGGAAGAAGAAGAAGAAGAGCAGGAGCGAGGAGGGGGACGAGGGGTTCCATCCTTCCCCATCGCCCATCCCTCCTTTCACAGATCCGCGCCTCGGTGCGGACCTTTGGCGCGCTTCGTGCCAGTCGTTGTGGGCGGCGTCCGGCGCCGTCGGCCGTGGTCGCTGTGCTTGATGCGCTGCTCGGTAGCTGCTTCGCCCGTCCCCGCCCCCCAAAACTCAAAGTTGGCACGCGTGGGGAAGTCTTGGGGGAGAGAAGAGTGACAGGAACCCACAAACTCGGAGGTCCGCGCGGATGTCTCGGATCCTCCCTGGCGCGAGGAGCGCGCCAGGGGCGGCGCCGGAGGCGCCCCCAGGGGGGTCCAACGCCGCCAGGGAGGGGGGTCCAGCGCCGATCCGAGAAACCCGCGCGGACCTCCGAGTTTCTATGTTTATGTCACTGTTCGTTCCCGTAAGATTGCGGTCGAAGTGCAGCTCATTCAACCCACCGCCAACATTGATCACTGGGGGGGAGCATTGGCAGAGGAGCCGCGGCATGAGATGGGTGTTTGCTACTTTCTTCCGAAGCCTGTCCCTCCGTCGACCCTCCTCATCCATCCATCCGTCCTTCGACCTTTCCCACCTGCTTTCAGCCAGGTCCAGGACGGTTGTCCGTGTGGTGCGGTCGTTCTTTCGTCTTTCGGCCCGTCCCGTCCATTCCTCCCCGCCCATCCCTCCCTCGGTCAGGCCAGCATAGGATGAGGATTAATCGTCCCAGGACGCTCTCAGAGCGTTCCGTTGCGCTCTGAAACGGCCGTGGCGCCCGCCAGTTCAGAGAGATTCCCGATCTATCCTCAGCCGGATTCATCATCTTGCCCTCGTCTTACTTCGCCTTCCCATCCTGGTCGTATCCCGGCCCAGACAGTTGTCCGCAGCAGAGGTCGTTCGCGCGGTCGTCCTTCAGACACCGCATCCGCCCATCCCCTTCCACCCGTCGCCCCGCCTGGTCTCAGCCAGGCCCGGACAGTCCGCAGCGGTGCTCTTTCGCTCTTCCATCCCTCGGCCACCCGCATCCGTCCCTTCTAGGGCGACGAGATCTATACATATCCACTGCTCCCGGCCAGGCCAATCCTGGGCCCAGGAGCGGTGTATACGCCCTCCTGGCCTGGCCAGGGAGGCATATACACAGCTCCTGGGCCCAGGATGGGCCTGGCCAGGAGCAGTGGATATGCATAGATCTCGTCGCCCTATCCCTTCCCGTCCGCTCATCACCCCGCCTGCTCTCGGCCAGGCCCAGACAGTCCGTTGCGATGGTCGCGCGCTCGCCCCGCCGCCATCCGCGCCCGTCCCTCCCCGTCCGCCCATCGTTGTCCTCGGCCCTCCGGCGCGGAGGAGGAGGAGCAGGAGGAGGAGAAGGAGGAGGAGGAGGAGGAGGAGGAGGAGGAGGAGAGGAGGAGGAGGAGGAGGAGGAGGGGGAGGAGGAGGAGAGGAGAGGAGGAGGATGGAGAAGGAGGAGGAGGAGAGGAGGAGGAGGAGGAGGAGGAGGAGGAGAAGGAGGAGGAGGAGGAGGAGGAGGGAAGGAGGAGGAGGAGGAGGAGGAGGAGGAGGAGGAAGGAGGAGGAAGAGGAGGAGGAGGAGGGAGGAGGGGAGGAGGAGGAGGAGGAGGAGGAGGAGGATAGAGGAGGAGGAGGAGGGAGGGGAGGAGGAGAGGAGGAGGAGGAGGAGGAGGAGGAGGAGGAGGAGGAGGAGGAGGGGAGGAGGAGGAGGAGGAGGAGGAGGAGGAGGAGGAGGAGGAGGAGGAGGGGAGGAGAGGAGGAGGAGGAGGAGGCGGAGGAGGTGGAGGCGGAGGAGAAGGGGAGGGGGAGGAGGAGAAGGAGGAGGAAGGAGGAGAAGAAGAGGAGGCGGATCAGGAGGAGGGAGGAGGAGGCCGAGAGGCCCGGACAGGTGCCCCCGCCAGCGGTGGTCGTTCGCTCCCGCTCGCCCCGTCGCCATGCCCCGCCTCGCGGCACCGAGGCCTCGCGGGGCCGTGCAGCAGGGGGTGCTCGGGGAGGCCAGAGCTGTGGGGCCAGCCCATCCCTCCTCTTCCTCCTGTTCCTCCTCCTCATCCTCCTCTTTCTACTTCTCCTCCTCCTCCTCCTCCTCCTCCTCTTTCTCTTCTTTCTGCTCCTCTTTCTCCTCCTCTTTCTCCCCCTCCTCCTCCTTCTCCTCCTCCCCCTCCTCCTCCTCCTCCTCCTCCTCCTTCTCCTCCTCCTCCTCTTCCTCCTCCTGCTTTTCCTTTTTCTTCTTTTTCTCCTTCTTCATCCCCTCCTCCTCCTACATTCCTATAACTAATTTCTCCCTGTCGCACCCCGAGGCCAGTTTTTAGGGCGGGCCGGGCGTTTCGCCTGAGACTTCCTCACCATATATGGCCATGAAGCTTCAAAATGGCAACAGCTTCGCAGATGGAGGGCGGGTGGGTTTCAAGATGTGGCTCTCGCCTTAGCGCCGCGCACATTCGTTTTGCAGCTTTTGCTAGGATCACATAACGTCGCCAACCGCGGTGTCGTCGGCCTCAGCGCGGCCTGCGATGTCGTGCGCCGCCACGGGCTCTGGCCAGAGGCTGCACCTGAGGTCCAGGACGCTCGTGCCGACCTGGCCCAGCAGTGTTGTGGTGATTGCCTCGACCGTGCACGTGACCGACGGGGATGAGAACGACCCGGACACTCAAAACGACGTCGTGGGGCCGCCGTGCCGCGTCTCCCGAGAGCTGCCGCGGATCCGAACGGGGAGAGGCTGCCGGCGAGTCTCGCAAGGGCGAGGTAAAGCCATGGACCATGAACCCATCACTCGACAGCCCCCAGGACTGAACCCCGCGCTGACCTCCATGATCACTACCCCCTGCTCGTCCCCGCTCACTGCCAGTGCCTTGGCGGGCGGTCCTCCCCTCACCCCATGTTCTCACCCCTGCATTGCAGGATACCTCCCTGCCGAGACGCCCCGCCTCTGGTCGGCCAGCTCTCGAGCGCTGGCAGCACCGTGTGATTTCCGCAGGCAGTATCCAGAGTCTCCGGTGCACTACGTCTGTTGTTGGGCGGGCTTGTCCTGGAGTCTTCGGTTGCAAGGGCCGATCCTGGTGCACTATTCGACAGCTCCCCAAGACACGCACCAAGGAGTTCGTTCGTTCGGTCGTTCTTCGTCAGTCTCCTCATGCCTACGTCCTCGTCATATATCCTCCTCCCATCTAACCCTCTTTCTTCTCCTCCTCCTCCTCCTCCTCCTCCTCTTCCTCCTCCTCCTCCTCCTCCTCCTCCTCCTCTCCTCCTCTCCTCCTCCTTCTCCTCCTCCTCCTCCCTCCTCCTCCTCCTCCTC